ATTAGCTTCTAATTCTAGTAACCCCTTAGAAATTTTTATAAATGTGCCCTAAAATGTTGCGGAAATCGGTGGATATGAAATGCAGATAATTCATGTATTAAACCTTGTTCTACTCTTTGATTATAGGGAAATTTTAGCACTGTTGTACTAGCTTCTGCTATTTCGGAAGAGAATGTAGGTTCATTGCCCGCAATAATGGTACTTTGAGCCTCAGCTGTAATATCCTCAGAAGTGGGATCTTCATTACTCTGTAATATTTTCTTTTTCTGATTTCGATCTCTCATCAAATTACTAACCTTTTCTTTTGTCACTCGATTCAGAAAATCATCTAATTTCTTTTCTTCTGTCGATTTATGATTCAAAATATTATTAGGATTACCTTCGAGAGAGATAGAATTTTGTTCCTGTTCTAAATTTATAGAATCAGTGCTATCATCCTCATCATTAATTGGTGATGGAATAGGCAATTGTGTAGAAGCTGAAGACTGCAAAGGGTCATTAGTAGTTCAATTTTGCTTTATGATTTGTTTTAATTTTGTATTTTTGATCCTAAGATTAGCAATTTCTTCTATAATTCATTTTAATCTAGTATTGTCAATCTTGAGACTGGTAATTCTCTGTCTCAACAAATCTAATTCAGATTCCATGTTCGATAATATTTTTTTATACATGAAATAAATTTATTCAAAATATTGTAAAAAAATCATGTGCATGTGAACAATTGTTCACACCGATCACTTTGACAAGAAAAAATATCTAATGTCATGTAATATTATGCAATCACCAGATCTTCTCTTGTTTTTACGAATGGGCAAAGCCCAGTGTCTAAAGACTCATAAATAAGAGGTATGTATTGTTGTTGTATAAAAACGATTAAGCTTATTTTTTGACATCAAATGAGGGCCTGTGCGTCATATGAGATGTACCAAAGTTTTTGATTTCACCTATCAGATAAAATGCACAAATAATTAGGATCAATGAAAACATGACTAACGATTTATCTGGAAGCCCATATGTGGAAAACAGAGTTGCTTATGATGTGTAGGCCATGCAGAGATGGCAACTTTGTTATATTGTTCTGATGATGCGAGCTTGCAATATTAAAAAGTCTTATATCATCATCAAAGGCTAATGTTATATTATTTTTATGCACCAGTTTGATGTTGCTTTTGAAGGAGTTTGTAGTCTTAGAGATATTGAGACATCGAAGGCAATAGCGAGTCCTATCAGCAAAGAAAAAATCTCAAATAATATGCGAGAGTTGAAGTCCAAACTTAGGGTAAGTATGATCTTTCATGTTAGAGAATTACTGAAGATTAGGCATGGGAATATACAAATGATTAACTCTTTCATTTTATAGGGAAATTCATCTCAGCTTGCTGTAGAATTACGCCAATTATTAAATAATGTAAATAATGATGACTTAACATGGCAAAATCCACTCACCAGTCAGGTAATCAGTGATGATTCTGATTTGGTGCAAAGTCTAACGCCATCTGCATGTCAAACTTTTACGAAACCAGCCCAACATATGCAAGCAACACTTCCATCAATTATTCAAGAAAAGTGCAATTCTTTTGTAGAACATTTCAGTATTGAGAATATTGATGAATTTCCAGAAAAGTTGACAAATACCAGCATTTGGAAGGAGACAGATGATGTTTTAGTGCAAATTATGAAAGAAATCCTAGATATATTGTATATATTTCTTATATTATAGTAATATGTTGACCATGATAATTTTTTCAATCTCTCAGAAGAAATATGTGCAAGAATCCCTCCTTTAATTCTCGGAATGCAAGCTCTCAGAGTGAAGGAACATACGTAACGGATGTAATTGTTCCTATTATCCATTCTACACTGAAAAGGCTCCCAATTGGAAAGTCTGCTTTTATTAGCATGTAAGTTTTGACAGAGTTTTTAAGTGGTGTCAAAAGGTTAACATTCATTTCTATTCAGTGCCGAATGTCAGAGTATGGCTAGTGCAGACAGAAGAGGAAAACAAGGAAAAAGACCAGATGTCATGTATATGGTAGAATGTGATAGTAAGTTATATGAACTCATTTTTACGGAATGTTCTTGCTTGGTATGTATTGAAAGTAAAGAAGAAAATGACAAAATTAAATTATGATGGGAAATGAATGATGGTATGGCATATGTCCATGGCAGTTGTAGACCAGATAAAAATGAATTCGGAATTCTTGGAATCCAA